CAGATGGAGAGCCCGCGGCCCACCCGCGACCACGTTCAGGGTACAAACCACATTTTCGGCGCCTGCGGCGGGCATCCTTTGCATTCGTTCCCTGTGGAGAACCCGCGGCCCACCCGCGACCCAAACCTCGTTCCGTGTACGAACCATTTTTTTTGGCGCTTGCGGCGGGCTGCTTTTGCATTCCTTCCAGGTGGAGGTGGAGAGCCCGCGACCCACCCGCGACCTAAACCACGTTCACTGAACAAACCAATGCCGCACAAGCGCGGCGGCGGATTCTTGCATGCCGTCTGAGCCCGCAAGGACCTCTTCACGCCCCGCACATCCACGCCAGCCCGTCCAGCAACTTTGCCCTGGCGAGTTGCCTTGATCAGAGAAGGCGGGGAGCATAAAGTGGAAAAAAGGATTGCGTTGCAGTTATCTTGGGAAAGGAGGGGGAGGCAGGATGAGTAAACAGGGGACGAGGAGAACGTGGAAGAAGAGAGGATGTAAGGAGAACGTGGAGAAAGAAAAGGAGGAGGAGCAGGAGGACGAGGGGGAGGAGGGGGAGGAGGGGGAGGAGGAGGACGAGGAGGGGGAGGATGGGGAGGATGATGATGATGGACGACAATGGGAGGACGATGATGGAGGCCGATGAGGGGGAGGACGACAATGGGAGGACCATGATGAAAAGACGAGGGGGGGAGAGGGAGGACGAGGAAGAAGAGGAGGAGGAGGAGGAGGAGGAGGAGGACGAGGTGGAGGAGGAGGATGACGATGACGATGAGGACGAGGAAGAGGAGGAGGAGAAGGAGGAGGAAGAGCAGGAGAAGGAGGAGGAGGAGGAGGTGGAGGAGAGCGCCATCGACAAGGAAGGTGGGGGCCACGAGGTCCGCCGGCTCGACGACGCCCTCGTCGCCCGCGCCCGCCCCCTCACTCTTATCCGCAATTGCGGGGTGATACGTGTACTAATATTAATCATGATATTACGAATGAGAAAAATAAGAAGAAGATGAAGCATAATCCTACACATAAGAATTATGATAACAATGAGAAGCAGAAAAAGAAAAATGAGAGGGAGCCATCACATCGGGGAAACATCTTGACCCTCAATATCAACGCCGTCGAGTCCCGCCCCCCCTCTTGACTGTTTTTGACTCTCGGGGCCCGCCAACGGGCCCCTGGAGCCGAGGCTGCGGAGCGGCGCGCCGGAACTCCGACGAGCCCCGTCTGCTGGAGGCCCTCGGAGGCGGCAGGAGGCCCGCGAGACCGGCTGCACGCAGCTCGGGCGGGTGGCCACCGCCATCGAGGCTCGAGGATCGAGGCTCGAGGATCGAAGCAGCACGCGCTGTTTCCCGCGCTCGGGGCTCGAGGGTCGAGGTCTGGGCGCTTCTGGGGCCTCGGTGCGAGCTGGCCGCCGGGCCTGGGGAGCGGAGAGGGGAAGGGGTGGGGATGGGGAAGTCTGCTGCTCGGGCGGGTGGCAGGGGGGGTGACCCAAATGGGGGACGAAGACAAGGGCCCTCGTTTGGGTCACCCTCCATTGCCACCCGCCAGAACAGCAGTCTTTCTCATCCCCACCCCTTCCCGGCATCCTCTCCGCCCCCCCCCACCCCGGCGGCCAGCTCTCACGGGGCCCCGGAAGCGCCCAGATCTCGAGCCTCGCGAGCCTCGAGCGCGAGACACGACGCCCGCAGCGACCTCCTCGTGGCGGCGGCGGCCCCCGACCCCCCGGCGGCCCTCGGTGACGACAGCGCCCCTCAGAGAGGCGGTGGAGGCTCACCGTTGCCGCCGCCGCCGCTGTCGCCCTCTTTGAAGGCCGGGCCCGCCGACTGCGGCAGGCGCGTGTGGTGGTGACCCTGGCGCTGGTTTTTTTGGCACCGCGTGAGCGGGTCAAGACCTTGGGCGATCGGCCACGTCTGGGCAGGGGCCGACCGTCCTGGCACTCCTGTAGGCCAACCACGACATTTCTTGGAGCCCGTAGAATTTTGTAGGGACAAAAGCCGTGTGGTTAGAACATGAATCCGATGCCTTGAAACAAGATAGCCTCACGCAGAAATGTTCGGAGATCCTTGCGCGCAAACCAAAAATGGTTTTTATGAGGGGCGACGATAAGGGGGGGATGGGCATAGGGGCGAGATGCATCGACCTGGAATCAGCGATACGTCTTCGATGGATCGGCGATAGGCCCCCGATCGTGAAGCCACACCTTCCTGGGCGGGGTGGGGCGATCGGCCCCCTGGGCGGGGTGGGGCGATCGGGCCCCTATCGGCGGTCAATCGGCGATTGGGGGTCGATGCCTATCCTCCCCTACATCCCCAGGCCGAAACTTTATTCCTCTTCGACTAAAAATATGAGAACATCAACGGGTCCAATTGGATCATTTTTTCGGGTGTGGGAAGGTTTCGTGTATCCTACTTCTGTGCTGCGCGGATCCAATTTCCAGTGTGTAACAAAAACGATGGATCCATTTATTTCCCGGGCATAGCTATATAATACTAATAATACTACGAATAATAATAATAGTAATACTAATACTAATAATAATAATAACAATAATACGAATCATAATAATAATACGAATAATACTACTACTAATAATAATAATAATGATGATGATGCTAATAATAATAATAATACTACTAACAATACGAATACTAATAATACTAATAATAACAGTAGTAATAATAATAATCGGCATCCGGGACCCAGGGGAAATGGGCCCCGCGGAGCACCGCAAGTGAAGCATCATGCTACATCCCCAGTATCCACGGAGCTGTGGATCTGCAGACCAATGCTATGATTCTACGGGGGAGGGGGCCTTCCCAGAATGAAGAAGGGAATGATGAGGGAAAAAGGCAAGAGGAAGTGGGAGGAGAACAGAGGGGACGCAGGGGGGGGAGAGAGGGGGAACAATCAGGGAAGAGAGGGGGGAAGGAGGAAGGAAGAGGAGGAGGAGAATGGGGATGAGGGAGGAGGGAGGAGAGAGGAGGGAGGCGGACAGACGAAGGAGGAAGGAGGAGGAGGGAGGAGGCGTGAGGAGGAGGGGGGAAGTGGGAGGAGGAGGAGAGGAAGGGATGAGGGAGGGCGAGGACACACAAGCAAAGAGTCCAAGTCGGAAGCTCGAGCGCCACAGCGGGCCCGGCCACCTCCCTTCACTTCTCCCATAACATGTGGTTGCTCGAGCGCCACCGCGGGCCTGGCCATCTCCCGAAAGTCCTCCCATAGCATAAGTTTGCTCGAACGCCACAGCGGGCCTGGCCAACTCCCGCATCTTCACCCATAACACATCTACCCCACCTCGAAGCGAGCGCTACATGTATCCGCTCACCTGAACGGCGCGTCGCTTCCGACATGTGGGGCTCAAGAGGAAAATCTTTCGGCCTGCGGAAGTATGCCTACCCCCCCCCTATCGTTACCCCCGATCTCCGAACATCATTAGGCAGGCTTGGACGCTGCCCCTCGCCCGACCGCTCCCTGGCCCCCCCCCAAAAAAAATAGAACCCCCTGCTCAAAAACAGCTGCCCCTCGCCCGACCGCTCCCTGGCCGAGGCTGGGCCGCCGCCAGCGCGCTCGGCCTCAAACGCCCGCGCTGGGGGCCGCAGCCCCCGAAGGTGCGACGCCCCGCTGTCGTCCCCTCGCCATCGCGCGGACGCCCGTGCCGCGCGCGCTGCTCGGCGTCGTGCGTCAGAGGCCTGTCCCGCATGGGTCAGCGCCCCTCAAACGGGGACTCCACTAACGGGTACTTTGGCCAGTGACCCAGCGAACCCAACCCTTCCCGATGTGGGCAACGCTGCAATGCAAGAAAAAGGCCCTAAAGTGGCAACTTTCGGCAAAAATTCAAAGTACCCGTTAGTAAGTACCCGTTACGGTGCCGCTGAATGGGGTCCGAGCGGACGGGGCCGGAGGATCGCACGGCATCACCGCTGCACATCGCCGATGCGTCGCCGATGCGTCGGCGATGCACCGGCGAGCCCCAGCGTGGAGAACGGCGGGCTGCCCACTTCCAGCTGCATCCCCGATGCATCGGCGGTGCGGGTCGACCCACTGACCCCATCCACTCGGGCCCCATGTGGGAGACCTCGATGCTTCGTTCTCCCCACGATGACCCAATATGATCATCGACGGTCCTCGTCGAGGGAAAATGCACACGTCCGAGCGATGCCAAGTCGATACGCGATCTCCCAAGGCTCGTCCCTTTTTTTGAATCAAAATGTGGACGCAAGCATGTCGGGGGAGACAGCCGCGTCGTCACGACGCGAGCCTGCCGTGCTGCGGCGACGTCGTGGTCTTCGCTTCGAGAAGATCCCTGGGCGGCCTTTTTGGAGGGGCTCCAGCCGACGACACCGCCGAGCGCGGCCCAGAGTGAACTGGCCACTGAGCGGGCTGGACGGCGATGGCAGGCCCCCTCCCTATTGCAGTCGGGCTCGTGAAGGAAGGGGCGCTAATGATTGTCTATCTTTTTCAAGCGCATCTTTTTGAGAGGGGGAGGAGGAGGCAAAGGGGGAGAGCGCGACCAACACCAGCCGAACCACTCGTCACCGCTAAGTGAGGAGCACTGAATGAGGAAGGAACGCTAAATGAGGAACGACACCGCTTTTTGGCACCAGAACTGCCAGGGTGCACGAGGAGAACTAGAGTAACAACCGCGGAATTACCTAAGGAACAGCGAGTCCCTTCCGAGCCCAGAGCGGTCCTTCTTTATCAACGTCTTGGCTGCAACACTCCTGGACAATGTTCCGACGACGCCGGCGCGCGCAGCGTTGGACCTTGTTCCGACGATAATCCGCCTTCGACGACGACGACGACGACGACAGCGACGTTGGATAGCTTCCCCAATACCTCTCCTGGAACCTCATCTGGCTAGGACTCCGAGGCGGATCCAGCCTTGGCGAGGAGGGCCCTTGACGAGGCCCCCAAAAAGGACGGCGACGACGGCGGCGGCGGTGACGACGACGAGGACCCTCGATTGCGACTGCGACGGCCGTTGACGACGACCACGACGACGACGCCGCGGAAGCCATGGCCTGCACCAGCCTTGCCCTCTGATGGTCCAGCTGCTGCCCCTCGGCCTCCGGGGGAGGAGGCAGAGGACGAAAAGGGAGGCAGGACCGAGGAGGGGACAGAGCACGAGCGAGGGGGAGGGAGAATAAATAATGGGAGGAGGAGGAGGAGGAGGAGGAGGAGGAGGAGGAGGAGGAGGAGGAGTGAGAAGGAGCTCTCTGCAGGCCTCTGCAAGTCCTGTACCTGCCGCTGCAGGCGACGGAGAGCCCCTCCAGAGCCCTTGATCCTCGATGTCCGAACCTCGAAGAGCGAGGAGGACCAGGACCCACGCCTCCTCCTCCTCCTCCTCCTCCTCGCCCTCCTCCCCCTCCTCCTCTTCCCCCTCCTCCTCCTCCTTCTCCTCCTCCTCCTCCTCTTCCTCCTCCTCTTCCTCCTGGAGTAGAAGGAGCGGGAAAAGCAGGAGGACCAGGGCAAGGCTGAGGAGGAGAAGGGGAAGGGGGCGGTGACGATGAGGAAAGACTCGGATCCAGAAAATAGCGGCCCGCGCGGGGGCGAGAGCGTCATTCTGAACGACGGGAGTGCAGCGCCGATCCTAAGATGAGGCCAGCGCTGTAGCGGCAGCACAATTTTGAAACACCGAAAGCGCTTCGATTGAAACGCACAGGGACACTGTGTTTGAATTCATGTGTGTATGTGTGGGGGCACAATCGGCGGATGGGGGGCGGGCGAGTCCTCAGCCATCTGCGGGTGAGAGAAGATACCAATTTTCATGGCGAATGATTGTGGAGGAGGGGGCACTGCCGGCCCGTGCCGTAAGGATGCGCGATAAGGATGCAATGGCCTTGGACACCCATTTCGAAGCTTTTCGAGCGGGGAGCGGCCAACGAAAGTGGCCGAGGATGGACCGAGGAGGCAAGGATGCAAGGGTACCCTTGGGAACATGTCCCATCGTTCCTACGCGGGTTGACTGTACCCGAGTATTGGATCCCTGAACAGTGTCGGATCAAGAAAGTGCTACATGCTCGCTCCCGCCTCTGGTCGTAGCCCTTCGCGCAGTCTGTCGATGCACTCGCGCCGCTGCTAGGTAATTGCGCAGGGGTAACATGAATCGAATAAGAAAAATAACGTAAACAGAAACTTTTGGCGCTCCGCGCCGGTTTCGTGGATCTGCGCTGGATCCCCCTCCCTGGCGCGCGGACCGCGCCAAGGGCGCCGCCGAGGGGGGGTGACAACGCGGATCCAAGAAATCCGCGCGGAGCGCCAACAGTCTATCTTTCCGCCGTTGCTTCTTCGAAGGAAGCGGAGAGGCAGATGAGGAGGAGGAGTCGGGGGAGAAAAGGGGGGGGGGAGGGGAGGGGAGGGGACGGGGGAGCAGGAAGGGGAGGAGGAGGAGGAGGAGGATGAGGAGGAGGATGCGGAGGAGGAGGATGAGGCAGGGAGGAGGAAGAGGAGGAGGACCAGTGTGAACCCAAGAGCCATCGTCGATGTTGAATACACCCTCCATCCAAGCGTCCTCTTCACAAGCCCCTACAACGGTTCACTCCGATTGAAGGATCTGCCTCGTTGGAAGACAAGACAACCGTCAGAAGATCCGGAAGCATGAGAAACAATATTTCTCGGGATTCCAACGCCACGGATCAACCTCACTGTTGCGTCTTGACGAACCTGGATCGTGCCAGAACGCCATTCTTGGGATTCCAACACCGCGAATCAGCGTAATTGTTGCACCCGCAAAATCTGGAACCCGTCCAAAACGCCATTTCTGGTAAGTTGATCGTGGGAATCCGTGAAACTCTGCAATATTTATGAACGAATGTGCGCGACGCTAGGGCGAGAACCACATTTTGGAAAAGATCCGCCCTCAATCCGTGAAGCTCTTGCAATTGTTTTGAACGGATGTGCGCGGCGCTCTAGCGAGAACCGCAATTTGAAAACGGGTTATGCTCAATCTCTGAATATCTTGCAAACTCTGGAAACACCGCATTTTGAAAACGGCTTATGCTCAATCCGTGAATATCTTGCAACATTTTGGAAAGACTGTTCGCGGCGCTAAGGCGAAAACCACATGTTGAAAACGGGTTATCCTCAATCCGTAAAGCTCCTTCAAATTTTGAAACGAATGTGCGCGGCACTGAAGCGAGAACCATAGTTTGAAAACCACCCGCCCTCCATCCGTGAAGCTTTTGCCAATATTTAAGCTTCAGAACCATACATGGTGAAGAAGTCTCCAGCCCGCCCGGCCCGCCCTGAAAGCCACTGGCCTCGGGGTGCGACAGGGAGAAGTCATGTATAAGGAAAGGGGAAGAAAGATGCAGAGGAGGAGGAGGCAGAGGAGAAGGAGACGGGGGGAGAGAGGGTCGCAAGACGACGGGGGGGGCAGTAGCAGCGGGCGCCGCTCGAGGAGGGGCCTCCAGGTCCCGCAGCGACTCGTTGGCCAGGAGCGCCCGTGCCTGCGGCGGGGGCGTCGTCGTCATCGTCGTCGTCGTCCTCGTCGTCGTCAGCGTCGTCAGCGTCGCCGTCGACGGCGTAGTCGTTGTGAGCGCCGTCGCCGTTGCCGTCGAGGATCATCGTCGTCGCGCCGTCTGCCCCTTCCTTTCCTCCTCCTGCCTCCTCCCTCCCCTCCTTCCCTTCCTCCTCCTCGTCCTTCTCCTCCCATCCGCCTCCTCCTCCTCCTCCCTCCTTCTCCTCCTCCTAGCCGCCGTCCCGGCCCGAGGCTTTTGGGTGCAGGTATCCAGGATACCTGCGAAGCCTCGCGGGGCTCGGCGGCCATACGCGCTCGCCCGCGCCGCCCTCGCTGGTGGCGTGCGGGCCGGCCGTGCTGCTGTGCTGTGGCGTGCGCCGCCCCCAGCGTGGGCGGGCGCACGACGGCGCGGGCGCCCGCAGTGCGCAGGGCGCGGCGCCGGCTGCGCGTGCGCGAGCCCGCCTGGCACAGGCGCGCTCGCGAGCGGCGCACGCAGTCGCGCACCTTGCTGCGCGTCGCCGCCGCAGCGGCGAGGCTGCGCGTGCACCACAGCAGCGGGATCATGTCTGGCCGTGCTGGAGGTTATGGCAGCAAGGGCAGCGGCCAGGGCCGCAAGGGCGGTGGCAAGGGCAGCGGCCACAGCGGGCAGAGCGGCAGCACCCCACCATGGGCTGTGCCGCCGCCGCCGCCAGGATGGTGGTGCCCGACCTGCGGAGGCCTCAATGGCCCGTCGGACCTGCTCTGCCGCACGTGCATGCCCTTGCCAGCCTGCGGGCCGCAGCACGGCGCGGCGGACCGCGGCAGCGAGGCTGGCGATCGACGCAGCCAGCCGCGCGACCGCCACCGCCGCGCCTCTGGCTCGCGCCGACGCAGGCGATCCAGCCAGACCAGGTCGGGCTCCCGTGTGCGCTTCGCGCAGGACGAGGACGACGACGGCGCGGCCAACGAGGGCGGCCACTCCTCGGACGGCGGTGACGACGAGCTGCGCAGCCCGGCATTGGGCATTTTGCCCGCGCTGCCAGAGGCCGCCAAGGCTCACCCCGCCTGGGTCGAGCCGCCGAGTGAGGAGCGTGAGCTTGGTGCTCACCGCCGCTCGCTGCGCCAGATGGCCGCCGCCACAGGCAAACGCCTCCAGGCTGCGAAGGATTTAGGCATGTCGGCCGAGTAGATGCGCCCTCAGGAAGAGGAGTATGCCGTGCAGCTCTGTATGATAATTATCGCTCGCCCCTCTGGCGTGAGATGTGACAAGCAACGGTCATATGTCCAGAGAGCGCAGCAGAAGCTGGAGAAAGCTCAGGATGCCGCCGCTGCAGCTCGTGCCGCCCCGGAGGACGCGGACGCCAAGGTCCAGCAGAGGTCGGCCGCCGTGGAGAGGGCCAGGGCGCTGCTGGAACAGCTGGAGGCCATGCGCCCGCCTCCTGCTGCTGCTCAAGAGGCAGCCGACGGAGACGCACCCATGGGCGGGGTGCCCGGCACGCCGCCAGCGATGCCAGGCACCCCGCCCGACACGGCCCCGCCGATCGCCGCGCTCGCGGCGCTGCAGGCTGGGCAGCTGGAGCTGGGACAGGCGCTCGCGGGGCTCACGGGCTCGCTCGCGACGGTCCAGACGGAGTTGGCGGCGATGCGGGCCCAGGGCACTGCGGCATCGCCTGCGGCCCCTCCAGAGGTTCGCCCGTTCGCTGGGCCACCGCAGCGCCTTGGGCCTGATGCGGCACCCGCTGGAGAGCCTGCAGCGCCTGCGGCTGCGCCTACGGCGGCGCCGCCGCCCGCGGCGCCCGCAGCAGCCCCTGCTGCCGCCCCTGCGGCGGCCACCGCAGCCGCCCCCTCTGGCGCAGCCGCCGCCGCTGGCCCTGGGCAGGGCCCGCCAGCCGCCGCCGCCGACGGGATGCATCCCGCGCGGCGCGGGCGCCAGGCCGCAGGCGCGCGCCCGCGTGCACGCGGGGCAGAGGTCGTGGAGGCGGCGACAGATGCAGCTGATGCCGACGAAGAAGAAGAAGGATGGAAGAAGGTGGATGCGAAGAAGACTCGTGACGCCGAGGCGCGGAGGGCCCGTCGTGATGCCGAGCGCGCGCGCCGACCGACTGGTCAACAGGGGCTTCGCGAGGCCATCGCGAGGCAGGAGGGCGTCGAGAGCCATCGTGGACGAGGTGCGACCCCTCCGGCTCCAGCAGGTCGTGCCGAGCTCGCCCGCGAAGCTGGAGCTCCTGATGCCGCCGCCGCCGCAGAACGTCGGCAGCGTCACAGTCGCAGCCACAGCCCACGGCACACGCGTGCTGGCGGGGCCAAGGGATCAGACTCATCGGACCTGTCGGAGCTGGGGTGATGCGACATGACGGGCAGGCTTCGGGGAGTGAGATGCCTGAGCCGCCAGTGCTGCCATCTCACAGCCTGCCCGCTGCTGGCCAACGGCCAGCCACGTCGCCTCTTCCCCACGCTCGGATGGAGTCCGAGCCTGGGCAGCCCCGCTGCCCGATTCCCGACTGCAGTGAGCTTGTCAGGCAACTACGTCAGCCTTGGCAATCTAGTGCTTCTCTCTCCCCCGCCTTTCTCGGGCAGTGCCAGACGGCTGATCACTGTCTATTTCACCCATACCTTCACAGTAGTACGATTTCGTTTTTTGATACCCACGGAGCCTCCCCCCCCTCAGAGGATGAGCAGGTAGCTCGGGTGGAAATCCAGACCGATGGGTCTGGAGGGCCTCGCCAACAATCCTTGGGAGGGCCACCGTCTTGGGCATGGTGTGTATTTACAGTTACTACCTCGGGGCGGTATGTTTGTGAAGGGTACCTGTGTGGGATTGATCCTGATCTATCCAACTCCGTTGCCAGTCCCTCGGGTGCCGCCGAGTTTCAAGCAGGCCTGTGGCTGGTGCTATGGTTATTGCAAGCCGACGATAGATTTTGCCAGTATCCCATTGTGGTGTACACAGACAACCAGCTTGTGGTGTCGACGGCGGCAGGTGGGACCCAGCATGCGTCATGTGGGGACTTTACGTGGCTTTTCGACGGTGCCTTGAAGTTGCTACGGCAGTATGCGACGCTCACTTGGAAACACATCCTGGGACACAACGCCCACCCGTTAAATGAGCTTGCAGATACCATTGCACGGCTTGCCTCTATGGGCCTATTGCCGACAGTCGACGCAGACTTTCAACCGTGGTCAGTATTGCTTGCTGCCGCCGCCCATGTACCTTGGTTATGGATTACTGCCAGCGCCAACGTCGGCTCAGGGGTATACCCGAATGTTGGTGCATGTGAAATGCCGTGTCTCGCCCCTCCCCGTCTGGACCTTCAGACTGCTTTCTCGCCGCCTGCTGGTCGCAGCCCGAATGACACGAGTGTGCCTCGTGATTCCCGTCCCGCAGGCGTGCTGTCCCTGCCTCAGGTACGATTCGCCGTGGCTAATGTGCTTACGTTACGGCCCCGCAGGAAGGCAGCAAAAGGAAAAGGCGACAGCAGGATCAGATGCCGCAACCAAGACGCGGCCGGCCTCAACATGCCTGGCAGAATGCTCGCTCTTGCACATCAGTTCTCGTCTCGCCAGTTGCATCTTGTCGGCACTCTTGAGACACGGCTATGCAGGAATGGTTGGACACCAGCAGGGGATTATGCTGTCATCACTGCCGCTGCCGAGGATCGAGGGAAGTTTGGAGTGGCCTTGTGGGTTAATATGCAGCATGAGTATGATGGTAGAAACACTTTGGCGCGCCGTCATGTAAGTGTGCTCAGTTTCTCGTCGCGCCATCTGCTAGTTGCCATTCGTGCTCCTGGTCTCTGCATTGACGTGTTGGTTGGACATGCCCCTCACTCCCGTCGGCCACCAAACGAGATTCGAGGATGGTGGGATCAGGTTGCGTCAGTCCTCTCTGCTCGGGTTCAGCCAGCGCCGTTGTATTGCCTGCTTGATGCGAATGCCACGGTGGGCTCACAAGTGTCAGACTCAGTGGGTGATGTGGCGCCCGAGGTTGAAAACTTCAATGGAATGTGCTTCCATAAGTTTCTTCGGGATACCGAGCAGTGTGCAGTATCTACGTTTTTGCCGTCATACTCTGGGGTACACGGCACATGGTTACCGCCTGGGGCCCAGGGTCAAGCACCTAGACGTCGCATCGACTACATTACCACCCCCATCGGACAGATCAACAGCGCGGTGCATCAGGGTGTCGATGTCGATCTCGATCTGTCGCTACGTCGGGACGATCACTTCGTGGTCACAGCTTACATGCGTGTGTGCCATGCCGATCGGTACGAACCTGCCTTGCTATGGCCTCGGTCTCGACACGACATATCGAAATATGACGACCCTGACTGTCAGCAGGCTTTTGCACAGGCCCTACAGATGGTACCCCAGCCCCCCTTCTCCATGCACCCGGACGACCATGCAGCACATTTGAATGCGGCCTTGCTTGCGGCGGCTGAGCTAGCCTTCCCGCCTAAAGCGTCATTGTCCGGCCGCACGCCACAACATAGCTGGCTCTCCCAGGGCTCTCTGGACCTCATGGATCAGCGCATGCATGGCCGTCGTGCACTACGATACCTACGGTCCAGTTTGTCGCGACTGCTGCTTGCTACTGCCTTTGTGGCTTGGGCCTCGGACGGGGCCTCTGCGGGAGAATGGTTCTGTCACAGGATACACTGCAGGAGGTTCTCATATCGCGACGGGCCCTCCCACCTACCTCTACTACAGTGCTGCCGTAGGATTGCGCAGGCGACTGACAGCGTACTGGATGCGACGAAGGCTTTCATGGTCCCACTACAGTCGCCCAGCGGGAAAATCAGCCTACCCCCGTGTACGACCGACCATGTCGTCGGGTTGCGCTACGTTGGGCGTCTCCCCACGTTGCACGAGCTGGCTGAGACCCCCAGGGACCTACGGTATGACCTGGATATGATGTTGCGGTTCTACCTGGCGTGGTCCGGAGTTTTTTGGGCACTCAATATGGTCTTTCTTCGGGGGGCCGCGTACGTCATACAGACATCCACGGGACTT